CGTCTGCCTTTCTGTCCAACCGTCCGTCAGTTATAAAAAAGATCCCAAATATTTCAATAAAAATTTGTAAGTATAAATATCACATTGATCTCGAAGGCGTTCAATCAAGAACCATTTGTGTCATCACAGTTCACAGTTGAGAGAGGAATGACCAGTCAGCCTTGGTTGTGGCGAGGTAACCGTCCACCTCTACTGACAACTGTTTTTCCAAAGATAGAGAGTGCAGGTATACAAACAATGTGCATAAAGAGTGCAGGTATACAACAAACATTAGTAAACAGTAAGTCGATTAGCCCAACAAAGTCATCGTATGGTTATTATTTCCATTAAGAACCATCCAGTGACCAAAGGCAGTGACCCAGCAACGCAGACACAGTGAAAAGGTTGAGCCAGAGATGTAAGGAGACAGCAGACACCAGATAAATAGAGCTAATACTTTATTGTCCACTCTTCTTATGTGGGTATCGGAGTTATTGATCTCAACTTGGACCATATCGAATATTTGACCTTGTAAATAAACAACACCATTTACAAAGAGGTTTTTCCTCTTGAACTTTCTCCTCAGATAGAGAGTTTAACCGTATATTACAACTTTAATACTATTATAGAATTGTTTTCAGTATCACCTGAAGATTAGACACCCCAGCTTATTTCACCTTTATATTAACCACCCTAACGCAAAATAGGTTTGGTTAGGTTAGGTTAGGTTAGGTCAGGTCAGGTCAGGTCTTACGAATGCTCTTACAAATATACATGAAATGTCTTCTTTGTCATCAGAGGCAGAGCGCAAAAGTAGTTCACGTAGCTACAGTGGTAGAGAGGTGTATACAATGGTACAGTGGTGTCTACAATGGTACACAATGGTAGAGAAGTGGCGTGGTAGCAGACGAGGGCAGACGTACGGTAGTGGAGGTTGGCGTGTGCCGTTCACATCACCTTCTTGATAATCATCTGCCGCCATAAGCAAGACTTAGGAGAAACACTGTCCTTTCTGGATGACACACCGCCCTTAAATATTACTGTGTGTGTGTGTGTGTGTGTGTGTGTGTGTGTGTGTGTGTGTGAGTAAAGGCAGTGTGATGTCATCTTTGAACCTCTGATTAAAAAAAAAAAATAAAATAAAGGGGGTTTTCAGGGACTAAGTAAACTGTACATACTATCCCCCAACACAGATGAAAATGTTTTTACGTGTCCATGTAAACTGATTTTCACTTCCTGGACACAATATAAACGGCTTCTTTACACACACACACACACACACACACACACACACACACACACAGAAAATTCTAATAAAAACACAGTATCGTCGTGCCAACTCCGTACCCCAGATATGACTACTTGAAAGCTGTCACGTTATTTACGACTAGGAGCTGACTAGTCATGGTAGAGGGGGTGGGGGTAGTGGGGGGTTAAAGTATATGTAGGGGTAAGTGGGTAAGGAGGGAGGTGGTAGGAAGAAAGGGGTAAGGGGGGAGTGTACGTGGAGGGGGAGAGGGTAAGTGGAGCCGGATGAGGTAAGTGGAGAGGAAGGAGGTAAGAGGAGGGGGGAAAGGGGTAAGTGGAGAGGGAGGAGGTATAGGAAAGGGGATAACTGAAGGGGGAAGGGTAGGTGGAGGAGAAGGGGGTAGGAGGAGGGAGGGAGAGGGGGAGCCACTGTGTTCCGCCTTTCACTAATTGATCCAAGTGATAATCCCCGCCGTAGTGACTCGCGTCTGGCAGGTCACGCACCGCACATAATGAAGGCCGCCCGTCGTTTTTATTAGGCTCAGCTCTGCTTTATTGGAGGATTAGTTTTTAGAATCAATCTAATTATCCATTAGGAATATGTTTGCATCGAGGATTTAAATTGGTCTGGTCATGGTGTGGGGAAAGTTACGGAGGGTGGGAGGGAGTGTTTAGTGTGATGGCCCATGACATTATGGGCGTAAGGTGGCCGTCTGCAACACACACGTACAATACCCCTCTCCCCTACCCACACACACAACAACGCCCCCCTCCTCAACCCACCCACACAACAACGCCCCCCTCCTCCCAACACACCCACAACACCCCTCCTCAACACACCACAACGCCCCCTCCTCAGCCAGCCACAACACCCCCTCCTCAGCCCATCCACAACACCCCCTCCTCAACACACCACAACGCCCCCCTCCTCAGCTAGTCTGTGCCCCTACTGTGCCCCCTCATCAACCCCATCCACAACACCCCCTCCTCCAACCCATCTGCTTACCCCCCCCTTCTCCAACTCATCCACAACACCCCCCTCCCTCAACACACCCACAACACCCCGCTCCTCAACACACCACAACACCTCTCTCCTCCAACCCCACCCCTAGCCCCCTCCTCAACACACCCACAACACCTCTCTCCTCAGCCACCCACAACCCCCCCCCTCCTCAACACACCCACCTTACCTCTCTCACTCAACCCACCCACAACACCCCCCTCCCCTCAACACACCCACAACACCCCCCTCCCTCACCTACCAATTATCCATATTACCTCCTTTTTCTTCTTTATCTTGTAATTCCCAAGTTGAGTAATATCAATCGAGGATCTGTCAGCAGGATTATTAGAGATACATATTTCTGACAGAGACTTGTAATCATGTGTGTGTGTGTGTGTGTGTGTGTGTGTGTGTGTGTGTGTGTGTGTGTGTGTGTGTGTGTAGAGGTTTATTAAGGAATATCTAAAGCAGCCTTGGGTGGGTCAAGAGAGCTGTGTTGGATAATATAACCAAATATAACCTAACTTAATAAAGCCTAACCTATAACCTAATATAACATAACCTAATATAGCTTAGCCTAACCTAATCTAACCTAAGTCCACCATTTTGTATTAGGGTATATAATTGTCCCGTGAAATAACTAAGGATGCCTATAATCTTCACAAGACCCTCTGAGTCTTACCAACTTTGGATCACTACACAAGGGGGATGAAATTAATAACGAAAAACTATAAAAAAAATAATACTTCGACTAACACAGACACACACAAACTACGACCACCCCAAGAGATAAAATATGACTGACATGAATAATTATTAATATCCACATTATAATATGCCTCCTGTATGAAGATTTTTGTCCAAGGAATAACTTTTGTTGTCGGTGATGAGGCAGTCTGTGTGTTCAGTGGTTCAGCTGCTGCCATGAGTGTGAATTCTTCTCCGATAAAGTATTTAAGTTTAAGGCAAGAGAGTATAGGTTGTCCCCCGCCCGTCAGCTGGGGATACCAAGCCTATTACCATCCTCTTGGCTGTGTGTCCTTCCGGGTGTCTTATGAACGCCCAACTCCCCCCAAAAAAACATCGAGAGAAAACAATCATTAACTCACATATGTGCTAGGTGGATTTTGTCTACATATGGAGTCAAAAGAGTGGTAAGAAGTAGTGTCTTGTAGAGCATGGCTCCACCTACAGGTCAGACTTGGCACACCAATTAAATCAGTTCAAACTTAGGCGAGTTGTAGTGTGGGTCGCTCACCAGCTTCACCTTCAAGGCAAGACGTACAGGTGACACGTGGTTGAAAACAAGAACAGAAGCTACAGGTAATGTGTAGGTACAGGAGCCAGAGGTAGTGTGTAGGTAGAGGAGCCAGAGGTAGTGCGTAGGTAGAGGAGCCTGGAGGTAGTGTGTAGGTAGAGGAGCCTGGAGGTAGTGTGTGTGAGGTGGAGGTGGTATGTGTGTGTGTGGGCAGAGACCTGGAGGTGGTGTGTGGTGGGGCCTGGAGGTGGTGTGTGGGTGGGGGTGGGGGCCTGGGTGGTGTGTGGGTGGGGGTACAGGGCTGGAGGTGGTGTGTGGGGTGGAGGTGGAGTGGTGTGTGGGTGCAGGGCCTGGGTGGTGTGTGGGTAGGTGGTGTGGGTGAGAGGGCCTGGGTGGTGTGTGGGTGGAGCCTGGAGGTGGTGTGGTGCAGGGCCTGGAGGGTGGTGTGTGGGTGGGGAGGGGGAGGCCTGGAGGTGTGTGTGTGGGTGGGTACAGGGCCTGGGTGGTGTGTGGTGTGGGTGGGGGCCTGGAGGTGGTGTGTGGGTACAGGGCCTGGAGGTGGTGTGTGGGGGAGGGCCTGGAGGTGGTGCGTGGGTGGAGCCTGGTGTGTGGGAGGGGGGCCTGGAGGTGGTGTGTGTGGGGACAGGGCCTGGAGGTGGTGTGTGGGTAGGGGCCTGGAGGTGTGGTGTGTGGTGGGGCCTGGAGTGGTGGTGTGAGGGTGGAGAGGTGGTCGGGTGGACCTGGAGGTGGCCTGGGTGGGCCTGGGTGGTGTGGGTGGTGTGTGGGGCCTGGAGGTGGGTGGTGTGGGGTGGGGGGTGGTGTGTGGGTGGGGAGCCTGGGTGGTGTGTGGGTGGGGGTGGAGAGTGGTGTGTGGGGAGGGCCTGGGGTGGTGTGTGGGTGGGGAGCCTGGAGGTGGTGTGTGTGGGTGGGGCCTGGAGGTGGTGTGTGGGTGGGGGCCTGGAGGTGGTGTGTGGGTGGGTGGGCCTGGGTGGTGTGTGGGTGGGGGTGCCTGGAGGTGGTGGCGTGGGTGTGGGGTGGGGGTGGTGGGTGGTGTGTGTGGGTGGGGGCCTGGGTGGTGTGTGGGTGGGGGCCTGGGTGGTGTGTGGGTGGGGCCTGGGGGTGGTGTGTGGGTGGGGTGGAGGGTGGTGTGTGGGTGGAGCCAGAGGGTGGTGTGTGGGTGGGGACCTGGGTGGTGTGTGGGTGGGGCCAGGGGTGGTGTGTGGGTGGGTGGGGGCCTGGGTGGTGTGTGGGGGCCTGGAGGGTGGTGTGTGGGTGGGGGCCTGGGTGGTGTGTGGGTGGGGGCCTGGGTGGTGTGTGGGCCTGGGGGGCCTGGAGGGAGCTGTCATAGGACATTCATGACTGCAGGAGAGTGCGGGTGGAGGCCTTGGTGGGGTCACTGATCACCGGTGGGATCAACACGGCTGTTATCCCGAGAAAGTGCCACCAACTTCCTGGCACCACAGGTAAACGACCGTCACTCACCTTCAGGAATCAATTACAAAACCAACAATAATTCTTTCACGTCAATTTTATCTAAAATCTGATTAAGTCGACACAACATATCTACATAACAATATACTCAGTGTTAACATAGAACACAGCCAACCACACCATGTTAACAATGACTAATTCTATATTAACAAGAGGAGTACCAATACCACGTTAACAATAAATACTATTTACAATTCTCAAAAAAATATTAACACTACAAATCAATTACATCATTCTAAGGGAAACAACAACACTATACAAACAATACTAACATATATAAATTCTATAAATTATCTACTACTAGCATAATTAACGTCACATTTACGACAATAAGCTAATTTATACCATTCTAACAGAAGGACGACAATATTTTAACAATTATATTTTCTAACACTTTGACACAGACGATATCAATCCTCACATAATAATAATACTAATAATAATAATAATAATAATAATAATAATAATAATAATAATAATAATAATAATAATGTATCGCTAAACCATCAAATTTCAAACGACACGAACAAACCTAACCTAACCTAACCTAACCTAACCTAACCTAACCTAACCTAACCTAACCAAACCTAACCTAACCTAACCTAATTTCATCAAATCTAGCTTAAACTACCTTAATTTAACCTAATCTAACATAACCTAACCAAATCTAAACGAGCGTAACGCAATCCAACCTAAACTATCCTAATCTAACCCAATGTTACGTAAACATATTTAATCTGGCCTGGTCAGGTTAGTTTACGTGTGACTGAATTAGGTTAGGTTAGAAAAGTTCGGTTAGATTAAGTTTGGTGAGATTAACTATAGCTGTGTTATGTTATAGTAGTTTAGGTGGGTTTGGTTAAGTTACGTTTGTTTGTTAAGTAACGTTCAGCTATGCTAAAGTTAGGCTTGATTAAGATAGGTTAAGCTTAGTCATCCATAAATTAGGTTAGAATGGGTAAGGTTAGGTTAGTTTAACTTGCGTTACGTGAAATATAAATACTCTACCGGTGTCACCGGCGGTAGTTTCAACCCAATATGTGAAGCAGTTTACCACACACACACACACACACACACACACACACACACACACACACACACACACACACACACGTGGTTGGGATTTATGTCACATGAACATCCGGCTAGTGAGCGTGAGTCAGGCTTGTAAACACGTGACAGTCAGGTATGTGAGTACACGAGTCAAGTTTATGAGAAAGATGAATCACTGTGTAAAGAGCCAGACGTGACCAGACCTGGAAGGTGTATAATGGGTACCCAATGTTACAATAATAATAATAATAATAATAATAATAATAATAATAATAATAATAATAATAATAAGAAGAAGAATACAGATAAAAGTAGAATAACAACAACAGATCAGACGTAAACAAAGATGACTAAACGCCGAACTCACGATACATACCCGAGTGTCCTTATTAACTAAAAAAATGTGTGTGTGTGGGGGTGAGAATAAAATTTATGAAATATGGCCGCCAAATCGCCACATTTAATCGGTTTTTAGTTATCAATCTAACTACTCTGACCTCAAGATCTACTGATTCGTTTACACACACACACACGACGCCAATATGACTTGCAGGTGACCTTTGACCCCTATAGAATGGTAAAAAAAATCCGCATCTCTCTCTCTCTCTCTTATTAAACCCAGTGTGTGAGTCATACAGCAAGTTTTATTTGTTCCAACTTTCATCTCAATTGTTGTAAATAAGACCGAACAGTCAGTGAAATATTATACAGGGTCACCACCACACCTGCAGTTGTCCTTGATCACTTCTCAACAAGGTTTTCTATATAAAAAAAAGAAGATTATCAGAGGAAAACTATATTATAAATTACAAAAATATTTAAAGAATTATTCCCCCCCCCCCACAAAAAAAACTTTAAAAGTAAATAAATCAAAAATAATTTCTTTTCAAACAAAGAAACAAGTAAATATCAGCGTTAATTTCCTTCGTCATTAAGAAACAAATAAATTACCATAGGGTGAAGTAAGCACATGAAGGGAGTTAGGGAGGTCATAACAATTACCAGATTATACTAGAAACAATTTACAAAAACTGAGCCAAAGAAAACGGGAAACGCCCGCCGGCTGTGTTATTATGGGGTGACACGTGAAGATGTGTGATCATGTGGCCACGCGGTGGTGGTGATATACTGTACACAAGGTGTTATGCACATGGTGGTGGTGGTGATGGTACACACTGGGTGGTGGTGGTGATACGCACAGGGTGGTGATAGTGGCACTCGGAGAGTGATGATGGCAACACCAGGGTGGTGTTAGTATAAACAGGTTGGTGGTACAGATAGTGTGGTTGATGGTGGTGGTACACACATTGGGGTGGTTTGGTGAAATACACAATGTGGTAGTGGTGGTACACACAGGGAGGTGATGATATATACAGGGAGGTGATGGTATACACAGGGAGGTGATGGTATACACAGGGTGGTGGTGGTATACACAGGGTGGTGGTGGTATACACAGGGTGGTGGTTGCATACACAGGGTGGTGGTTGTATACACAATGTGGTAGTGGTAGTATACACAGGGAGGTGATGATATACACAGGGTGGTGGTGGTATACACGGAGTGGTGGTGGTAAACACGGAGTGGTGGTGATATACACTGGGTGGTGGTTGTATACAGAGGGTGGTGGTTGTATACACAAAGTGGTGGTGGTGGTGGCACACACACACACACACACACACACACACACACACACACTGTATGATATCGGCTGAGACTTAAACACATCATCAACAAAACAATAAATAATAATAAGTTTAACAATATAAAACGACCAATTTTAAAATATTTAATAACTTTTGTTGTAAAAACTAAGGGAGCTTTCACACTGAGGCCGGAACGGACATAATTATTCTGACGCAAATTGTCCAACCGAGTGAGTCAAGTTAACAACACATATCTCACACTATATTCGAATCACATCTAATTCGAATCTTTCAAATTTTATCCAAGAGGGAAAAAAGTTTACCTCTCCCTAGACAGACAGTGAGTCATGTTACATGTATTAGTTAAGGTGAGGAAACAATAATACCAGGGCGTCACATATCGTCTGTCTCCGGACAATTTGTGTCAGAATAAGTCAGCTTCCGGACTCGGTGTGAACACTCCCTAAGAGTTAATGAACGGTACTTAACAACCTGGCAGTTGAGGTATACTGAAGATAAACTACATCAACAATTAAACAAACTACAACACAAACACATACAATACATGGGTGTGGTTGGCAATAACGGTGTGTAGCTCTAGTGGTAATGTATAAAAGGTGTGTAAAATGTATAAATGTAAGGAAGGAATTCTGAATAATTCTTAAGCGTGATGATTAACACAATACTATTTTGTCTCTTTATACATTATTATATGAAGTTCAATATATATATATATATATATATATATATATATATATATATATATATATATATATATATATATATATATATATATATATATATATATATATATGCGTGTGTGTGCGCATACATCAAACACATAACATTTCATCACATCAAATTCTAAAACTATTTTGACATAGAAGCATGACGTAGATACTGTATAATATTCCACACATGACTGGTGGAGCTACAAGTGTGTATCAAACAACACACTACACAACAGAACACCACTACACTACACCCGAGGACACAGCCAGGGTGCGGGGTTATGGCAGGATCGCATGTGTAACAGCTGACAATCGGCCACATAACACTGCCTTCTTCCTGCACATATAACACGTCACTGTTTACTAACTGTATGTATGTACATTACTTTTATCCTGGAAGCCTTATTAACGGGAACTTAACGCTGTTGCCTTATAAGGCTGCTATCACCGTACACAGTCTTATCGGGAATTTAACACTGTTGCATTATAAGGCTGGCTGCCATCATCAGAGTGGCTGTCATCACTGAAGTGGCTGCCATCATCAGAGTGGCAACTTTCACTACAGAAATTCTTATACAAGAGCTTAACACTGACACCATCACCATAATAATGTTGTAGTAGTTTAGTTGTGGTACCAACTTGTGGTTGTGGCACCAGCTTTTTGTTGTGGTTGTGGAACAAGGTTATAGCCGTTGTTGTGGAACCAAGTTGTAGTCGTGGTTATGGCGCCGGCTTGTAAATGTGATTGTGACACCAGGACGTAGTTGTGGCGCCGGCTTGAAGTCGTGGGAGTAGCGCCAAAATGTAGTTGTATCTATGGTGACGCCGGGTTACAACTGTTATGTGGTTGTGGAGCCAAACTGGGGTGACACAGCAAGGTCCATCACTATACAACATGGTGGCACAGTAAGAACCATGACCTGCCTGTGTCCGATCATTTTATCCTCAAATTGATGGCTAAAGGTACGTCCACAGGTGCGTACATTTTGTCGCCAACATGTGATCAACAAGAGGAAACACCCATCTAGTGCACGCGGCCGCACCTTAACAGAGTCGGAACCCTGTGCCCCATTTCGTCTTGTTGATCACATGTTGGCGACAAAACGTACGCACCTTAATATAACACATCTGGTTTATACATTTTTAAGTTATCCTGGACATTAGTTTAAGTGCGTCTCAAGTTCAAACATCTCACCAGACGTTAGATCTGAACTTAGGATCTACAGGTCTGCAATCTAAGGTTTTGTATCTTGAATTTTTCCGTGCCACATTTTTAACAGATATATAGCACCAGAAGTGACCAGGCTTACGTTTCGATGTCAAACCTATACACAGAACTGCTCCCTTACCAAACACTGACGACATATGAAGCAGAATGACTTGATAGGGAGGTTATAAACGCTCTGAGACAGGCAGGGAGTTCCACAGAGTGTTAGTCTCGAACAGAAATGAGGTTTGGTGGACTGCGGGTTCTACAAAATCCCTTCCCAACACACCGGGAGTATTTGTACACGTTCCTAAAAAAAACCTTCGTGCCAACTTGGAACCCCAGCGGTGACTATCTTAAATATATCTTTTAGTTTTTCACCGACCTCAATATTTATTCACCAAAGTTATGACAAAAGTTATGGCGCCACCAATAAACTTTATTATTGTATATTATGGCACTATGAACTCTGCTGCCATCCCTCCGCACCCCATTCTCTTTAGTCACCAACGCCTTTGTAAATGGCCAACATATGTAAATAACTAATTACCCTTGTACAATTTACGAATACCTGTGTAAATTACCCACACCTGTATAATTAACTAACACGTAGGCACATTCATAACACCTGTACAACACACCAACACCTACATAACTCACCAACACCTCCATAACTCACCAACACCTCCATAACTCACCAACACCTACATAACTCACCAACACCTGCATAACTCACCAGCACCCACATAACTCACCAACACCTGCATAACTCACCAACACCTACATAACTCACCAGCACCCACATAACTCACCAACACCTGCATAACTCACCAGCACCCACATAACTCACCAACACCTGCATAACTCACCAGCACCCACATAACTCACCAACACCTGCATAACTCACCAACACCCACATAACTCACCAACACTGCATAACTCACCACACCCACATAACTCACCACACCTGCACTAACTCACCTCCCTAACCAACATCTACATAACTCACCAACACCTGCATAACTCACCAACACCTACACTCAACCACCACCTCCATAACTCACCAACACCTACATAACTCACCAACACCTACATAACTCACCAACACCTACATAACTCACCAACATCTGCATAACTCACCAACACACATAACTCACCAGCACCCACATAACTCACCACCTGCATAACTCACCAACACCCACATAACTCACCAACACCTGCATAACTCACCAACACCTACATAACTCACCAACACCTGCATAACTCACCAACACCTACATAACTCACCACCTCCATAACTCACCAACACCTGCATAACTCACCAACACCTGCATAACTCACCAACACCTACATAACTCACCAACACCTACATAACTCACCAACACCTACATAACTCACCAACACCTGCATAACTCACCAACACCTGCATAACTCACCAGCCGTTGTCTGCCACTCACCCATTCAGTCCAGCTTTTACCTTGGTATTATACACTATATCTCGTCTAGTTAAGATCTATATAAATCCTCATTTCGTGCATAGTCTCTTTACACTGTACGCAAAGGTCCGCGAGAACACAAAAATCTTTATACCTGTGTTAATTCGGCTCTGTGTGTGTGTGTGTGTGTGTGTGTGTGTGCGTGAGGAAGTAACAATGAGCCCTGCGTGACTGACTCAACCAAGGTCACAACATACACTTTGTCCACACTCAAATACCACTATGAGCGCATATTATTATTAAGGTGATTGCTGCAGTTCCTACACGACACTTGCGTCCCGTCTGGCCTCGTGAACATGCACTCACTTCCCTGTCCTACTAGTACTTACACATTACTGACAAGTGTGTGTGTCCGCTGGGTAATAATAATAATAATAATAATAATAATAATAATAATAATAATAATAATAATAATAATAATAATAATAATAATTATTATCACTATTATTATTAATCAATTAATAAAAATATTAAGCATGCACAAAGATTGTTTTTGTTTTTTTGTGGTGCCGAGCGAACTTATAGTTATTTTTGCACTTTGGTTTAAAATCAACCAATTAGGTGTGTTTCTACACCTCCAGCTACGGAGAAACTCAACTTACGAATCTTTATAAACCTGAGGTCTGAATTGTCTTTCAATCTGGAAAAAACATGCAGGGTTTTAGGGAGTGCAACAGTTAAGACACGACTGTGAATGTTCCTCAGAAATGGCTGGCTGAGTGAGCGCACCGCAGTGAAGCTGAGGGCACATTGCCAGTAGGAGCCTCTCTACTACTGAGCTCACAGCTTCATTTATACTCAATTCATTAATGTACCAACGCACACTACTGGACACACCTGAGTGTAGATGACGTCATTTATAGACACATCCTGACTCATCCCCCGTCGGTGTGTTTGGTCAGTGAACACCAGTAAATATTAAAACCGCTGTCACGTTATTTACAGTCACAAGAACTGGGATTTATATTTCTGAGAATCACTTCTTATGGCTTCTTTCACTACTGGACGCTAAAAATATATATACACCTAAACACGGAGAAGGAACTGACTGTAACAAGTGATGTAACATATAACACAACTGTGGGAGGTACTGATCACCATCATTATTGTTCACGTGCCGCTGTCATCACCAGCACACACTTACACACGCACCACCTCAACATAACACATAATTTTCTCAATATAACTTCACATACCTTGTTACAGAAGTTTATTAAAACATCAATGATAGAGTATTTTCCCGTGGACTGTAGTTTTCAAGGAAAATTTAAGACGCTTCTTTTGACTCGGCGCACACGCACGGCAGCTTATAGGAGAAAGTGTTGTTGTATCTCCGTTTAAGACATGATTCTAGAGCTAATATATACTGTTTATATGTTCAGAATGGTATAGCAGAATCTTCCTCGTGTGGGGGTGCGGTGGCTGCGGCTGTGGTTGCGGCTGCGGTGGGCACGTAGATGTGGATCTCGATGCGGGGAGGTGAGTGGAGCTTATCCTCTACGATGTCCACATCATCCATATCGGAACCACCTTGGTCATCTTGCCGCAGCCCCCCTGACCCTGAATCTGAGCCTGACGTTGGCGACGCCTTACCCTGCTGGCGAGTCTTCCTGTGTGACCCCGGCAGCTTCTTGAGGCGGTGGTAGAGGGAGGCATAGCCGTGTAGAGTGGAGGAGGGACGAGGGAACAAGGTGCGGTTCAAGTACTGCTTCACCTCCCGTGCCGCCGCTGTCGATGTTCCGCCGTTCCCCTCCATGGTGCTCCTGGGAGCACCTGTGGATGACATCCTGGCGGCGCTGAGGAGGGCGTTGTGGGAGACGAAGAGAGTGTCAGTGGTGATGTTGGTGCCGTCAGCACTTAGTGTGGAGCTTCCGCCACTAAATGAATCACTGGTCAACAAGCTGGAGGTGTCGGTGTGCCACGATGAGGCAATTGAGGGCGGAGAGACTTCGCTAGAGCGCCTCGGCCACGGTGGAGACTCACCAGTGAAGTGACGTCGTCGTGCGCGGTGATGATGACGCAGGTGGTGATGGTGGGGACACGGGTAGTGGCCGTGGTGTAGGTGAGGTAAGACTGCGGCAGCGGCTGTGGGGTGGTGGGGTGATGTGGAGCGGTAACCACAGCGGTTGAGGGCGGGTTTGCTGGCACTCTCCCAGTGAAAGAATCGTCGACCTGGAAGAACACCTACTGACATGATCTGCTCCGCGCCAACACAGGAGGAAACTGGTGGTCCTACACTACTGTCAACACCTATAGCCTCTTGTTCCTGCGGCGTCAACCCTCCCACCACGGCTGCTTACTCTCCAACCTCCACCACAACACTACCTCATGCACCAGGCCAGTAAACTTCAGTGTGTTACTCTTCAATATCTTCTTGAAGCAAGGTATGAGCGAGACGATCTTCAACTAGATAGTGAGAGCTGCAGCGTCCCTTCACCCCAGACACAGCTGCAGTGGTGCACAGTCGTGACACACACACACGCGCACCCACACCACACGCCACGGTCACAGCTGCCGTGACAGGGATGGTGAGTTAGGTGAAGTGTGTTGAAGTGGTGTGTTTTGGCTCAACTGTAAATAAGTCAGAGTTGGCAGTAGGGCTGAAGTGCAACTAAGTTGGGGTTGGCAGTAGAAAAACTGGAACTAAGTCAATGTTGACAGCAGAACAAAACTGCAACTAAATCAGGGTTGGCAGCAAGACTGTATACTGGTGCTAAGACAAGTGTTGGCAGCAGAACAATTGGAACTAAGTCTGGACTGGCAAGTCGGGGTTGGAAGCTGAACATCTAAAACTAGGTCGGGGTTGGCGGCAGGACAGTACTGGTACAAAGTCGGTGTTGACAGCAGGACAGTACTGGGACTAAGTCGGGGTTGACAGCAGGACAGTACTGGTACTAAGTCGGGGTTGGCAGCAGGAGAGAGCTGGAGGAGTAGGATGAGAAGGAGAGAGAGGAGATGAGCTCACAGGACGCAGGCAGCCAGGCAGCACCAGGAGGGCCACAGGTGACCGTGTTTTTCGCCTGGTTCACGTGAGGTCGCCGGGGATTATGTTGTCGTGTCTGGGGAGAAGCCAAAGATGGCCACTGTTATATATCCCTCAAGTGCCTAAAACATCGCCTACCAAACATATCTCACGTGATTATTGATACATACGGTTATATATCACAAAGATGAAGGATTAATCTGACTTTACCGATCTCTCTCAAAAATATTAGGTTTCAATATACTAAAGAAGTGAGTTACTATTATAAGTGAGGGTTAGGTTTTGACGTGGAGGAGAAGTGAGCATGATGTTGTGAATTACAGTGGTGGAGGAGGAGGGTCGTGGTGATGGTGGAGGTCAGGCACGAATGGCACAAAGTCTGTAGCGAGAATGAGAGCCTCACCCGGCTAGTGCCACACCCGCGCCGCCTCACCCCCACCCTCCCCAAGGGCCCTCTACACCAATGACGTCACACATACGTCACTCACAACCCCTACACTACAATGACGTCACCCCAACGTCACAGACTAAAACACTCACCACCAAACTAACGCTGGGGTCCCCTGGTCCTCGGTATCTACACCCTGTTTGTATCTCCACACATGTTGTTTTTCTAGTTAACTTCTCCTTCACGTAATATCGTCATGTTCATAACAACTGTCACTGAGTCCAAGTTTAAGATCTTTGTGTACTTAAGGTTCTCAACTGGCATAATTTTCCTCGTCATCATTATCATCAAGACTGACCATTACTAGTCAACACGTTCTTACTGTTCACTTCAGGTACAGAATATCCCTAACTCGCCCCTCTCAAGTCTCTCTGACATGTTATAATTACTCCCTGAAAATACCAAGATTTATTAACATACAAACGTACACTACAAAACTGACCTGAGCATTATTATTGTGCTTTATACCGTAAGAGTAAACAAAATATAACAATTATCAACAACAGCAACAATCACGTGGGTGTATAATTGTGGTGACATATCTCCCCCACAACACGACTGAGTATGGCACCCATAGTTAATGGCTACTAAACATGTGAAGCGGATTACTGGAAACAAAGTGCTCGGTGTATGTGTGTGTGATGTGAGGCGGTAGAGGTGTATTATTGTGACAGATGTGTAGTATGATGACAGGTGTTTAGTATGGTAGTAGGTGTGTAGTATGGAAGGTATGGTAGTAGGTGTGTAGTATGGAAGGTATGGTAGTAGGTGTGTAGTATGGAAGGTATGGTAGTAGGTGTGTAGTATGGAAGGTATGGTAGTAGGTGTAGTAGGTATGGTAGCATGGTAGCAGGTGTGTAGTATGGAAGGTATGGTAGTGGGTGTGTGTATAGTAGTAGGTGTAAGGTATGGTAGTAGGTGTGTAGTATGGAAGGTATGGTAGTAGGTGTGTAGTATGGAGTAGGTATGGTAGTAGGTGTGTAGTATGGAAGGTATGGTAGTAGGTGTGTAGTATGGAAGGTATGGTAGCAGGGTGTGTAGTATGGAAGGTATGGTAACAGGTGTGTAGTATGGAAGGTATGGTACAGGTGTGTGTAGTATGGAAGGTATGGTAGTAGGTGTGTAGTATGGAAGGTATGGTAGTAGGTGTGTAGTATGGAAGGTATGGTAGCAGGTGTGTAGTATGGAAGGTATGGTAGTAGGTGTGTAGTATGGAAGGTATGGTAGTAGGTGTGTAGTATGCTAGGTACTCGTAGCAGGTGTGTAGTATGGAAGGTCTGGTAGCAGGAGTGTAATTTGGAAGGTATGGGAGCAGGTGTGTAGTATGGAAGGTATGGGAGAAGGTGTGTAGTATGGAAGGTATTATAGCAGGTGTGTAGTATAGAAGGTATGGGAGGTATAGTAGTAGGTGTGTAGTAGGGAAGGTATGTGAGCAGGTGTGTAATTTAGAAGGTATGGGAGCAGGTGTGTAGTATGGAAGGTATGGTAGCAGGTGTGTACTACAGCCAAACCCAAGCGTGATCATTCTCCACGCGACACATAAGCGATTGACTAAAGGCCAGGTGTGTGTGTGTGTGTGTGTGACTGTTGGATATATTAATTATAAAGTTTTATAAGTGGTGATGACAGTGACCTTATACCAGTGGTGGTGACAGTGACATATACCAGTGGTGGTGACAGTGACATATACCAGTGGTGGTGACAGTGACATATACTAGTGGTGGTGACAGTGACATATACCAGTGGTGGTGACAGTGACATATACTAGTGGTGGTGACAGTGACATATACTAGTGGTGGTGACAGTGACATATACTAGTGGTGGTGACAGTGACATACCAGTGTGGTGACAGTGACATATAATTAGTGTAGGTGACACGACATACTAGTGGTGGTGACAGTGACATATACCAGTGGTGGTGACAGTGACATATACTAGTGGTGGTGACAGTGACATATACCAGTGGTGGTGAGTGACATATACTAGTGGTGGTGACAGTGACATATACTAGTGGTGGTGACAGTGACATATACCAGTGGTGGTGACAGTGACATATACCAGTGGTGGTGACAGTGACATATACCAGTGGTGGTGACAGTGACATATACTAGTGGTGGTTACAGTGACATATACTAGTGGTGGTGACAGTGACATACACTAGTGGTGGTGACAGTGACATGTACTAGTGGTGGTGACAGTGACAAAAATTAGTAGGTGACAGTAACCTTATATCATGGTGGTGACAGTGGACCTATCAGTGGTGGTGAGGACATATACCAGTGGTGGTGACAGTGACATATACCAGTGGTGGTGACAGTGACCTTATCAGTGGTGTAGGAGGACATACCAGTGGTGGTGACAGGACATATACTAGTGGTGGTGGTGACAGTGACCTTATATCAGTGGTGTGACAGGACATATACTAGTGCGGTGGTGAAAGTGACATATACTAGTGGTGTAGACAGTGACATATACTAGTGGTGGTGACAGTGACATATACTAGTTGGTGGTGACAGTGACATATACCAGTGGTGGTGACAGTGACATATATCAGTGGCGGTGACAGTGACATATACCAGTGGTGGTGACAGTGACATATATCAGTGGTGGTGACAGTGACATATACTAGTGGTGGTGAAAGTGACATATAATAGTGGTGGTGACAGTGACATATACTAGTGGTGGTGACAGTGACATATACTAGTGGTGGTGGTACTGTACACTGCAGTAGTTGTCGTCTAGGTGGGGGCCACTGACGCAGCGGAAGTGTCCACATGAAAGACGAGATGGCCACAATGGGTAAACCCGGCCACGTCTTCCCTCACACCATACCGATACTGTACAGTACATGGCCACACCCTGCTACCTTAACCACACTACTGTACATGGCCACATCCTGCTACCTTCACCACAATACTGCACATGGCCACACACTGCCTCCTTCACCACACTACTGAACATGGCCACAATCCTGCTACCTTCCACCACACTGCTGTACATGGCCACACATCCCGCCTCCTTCCACCACACCACTGTACATGCCACACACCCTGCTACCTTCACCACACTGCTGTACATGGCCACATCCTGCCCTCCTTCACCACATTACTGTACATGGCCACACCCTGCTCACCACACCTGCTGCACATGGCCACATCCCCTTCCACCACACTCACTGAACATGCACACACACATTCTACACCATCACAATACTTGGCACACATTACGCCATCACAATATTTGGGCACACTACAATAACACTAAGCCACACCACACCACGCATATACTGGACCACCACACTACCGCTATACTTGGCCACACTACACCACCACTATACTTGACAACACTACACCACCCACTATACTTGGCCACACTACACCACCACTATATGACACACACCACCATATTACCACACTACACACTGACTACACCACACCACCTATTTGGCCACACATACCACGCACACACCACACCACCACTATACTCTGGCCACACTACACACACCACACCACTGGCCACTCCACACCACACCACCACACTAAACTTGGCCACACCACACCCACCACTATACTTGGCCACACACACCATACACCACCACCCAACCACCACCACCACACCACCACTATACTTGGCCACACTACACCACCACTAAACCACACTACACCACCACCATACTTGGGTTATACTACACAACCTAACTTGGCCATCCCATTGACCATACAGGCCCTGTTAAAGCAGCCGTAACTTGTTGGCCACAGTAGCTGGGCCACACCATGGAGGTCTCAGAGCGGTAGTAGCAAGGATGGTGTAACATGTGTAATAGGAGGGAGGAGGAGGAAATACTGTCATAGTGCACCAACAGTCTTCACCTTACTCCTCACCCACACTCCCTCACCCACACCCTCACCCACACCCCACCCCACACACCCTCACCCACACACCCCACCCACACACCCCCCACACCCACACACACCCTCACCCACACTCCTCACCCACACCCTTCACCCCCACCCTCACCTCACCCACATACCCCCACCCCACCTCACCCACACACCCTCACACCACACCTCACACCCTCACCCACACCTCACCCACACACCTCACCTACACACTCCCCTAACCCACACCCCACACCCCACACCTCACCCACACTCCCCACCCCTCACCCCCACCCACACTCCCCTCACCCACACCCTCACCCCCACACCCACACCTCACCCACACACCCCCACCTCACCCACACTCCCCACCCACCCACACACTCCACCCCCCCCACACACCCACACTCACCCACACACCCTCACCTCACCTCACCACACCTCACCTCACCTCACCCACACCCCACCCCACCCTCACCCACCCACACACCCACACCACACCACACCCCCACCCCACCCCACCCACAACACCCCACCCACCACCCCCCCCCACCCCACCCACACCCCACCCACACCCACCCACACCCCACACCCCCCACCCCCCCACCCACCACCACCACCCCACCCACCCACCACCTCACCCACACACCCACTCACCCCACCATCACACCCACACCCCCTCCCCACCTCCCCCACCCCCTCACCCACACCCCTCACCCCACCTCACCCTCACCCAAACCCCACCACACCCTCACCCACACACCCACACCCCACCCACACCACCCCCCACCACCCACACCCCACCCACACACCCCCACCCACACCCTCACCCCACCTATTCACCCACTCCACCCACACATTACCTCACCCACCTACACACTTACACACCACCCACACACCCCCACACCCACACACCCCCCACCCACGACCCTCACCCACACACACCCTCACCCACACACCTCACACACCCCACCCACACACCCATTCCCCACCCACACCCCCACCCACACTCTCACCCACACACCCCACCTCACACCTCACCCACACACCCCCACCAAGACACACCCCCACCCACACACCCTCACCCACACCCACACTGTCCACACACTCTCCACCCACCTCACCACACCCCCTCAGCTCACACACACCTCACCCACACACCTCACCACACCTCACCTACACACTCTCACCTGGGACCACCCACACCCACCAATAAAGTTAATAATTATCTCAATATACAAATTAACACCACACGCTGCTCAGATCCCAACATCCACACTCTGACACCGTGTAATTCATTACGACAAGGCAAAGTTATAAGTAAAGTCTGTGACGGAGTGACATAAACAGGATGTTGAATTGTGACGGATCTCATTATACACCACAGGTCACCGACATAAACAGATCCCCACGCTGCTGGAGTGTTGACGGGAGGACATAAACAGTGATCCTGACATAAAACAATGGTTAGTCTGGGTGAATCCATAAACAGATGGTTAGTCTGGTGACGGGGAAAATATTAAATAATAGATAATGGTTGGGGTCTTGACCGAGTGACAACAGATGGTTAGTTGTCGGATTAAAGAGGACGTAATAAACAGATGGTTATTATTCCTTTTAAGACGGAGTGACATAAACAGATAGTTAGTCTGTGAGGAGTGACATAAACAGATGGTTAGTCTGTGAAGTGCAGGTTAGTCTAGAGTCTGTGACGGAGTGACAGATGGTTATGACCGAGTGACATAAACCAGAGCTCCGTGACGGGAGGACATATGGTTAGTCTGTGACCGAGTGACATAAACAGAGTGACATAAACAGATGGTTAGTCTGTGACCGAGTACATAAACAGATGG